CCCCCCCCCCCCGTGGTGAGTCCTCTCTCTCTCCCTGTCCCTTTCTCCAGGTTGCCCTGGTTCTGGAGCTTTATGTCTCTGATGAGCAGTCCCCAGCCACATCGACCTGATCAGTGTTTGATTGTTGTGTCTTGTTGCTTTTCTTCTTTTGTCTCTCCTCTCGGCTCCTTCCCCACCAGCGAGGTGACACTCCATGTCCCCAGAGCTAGTCTTCGTGTCCAGAGATCGGGTTGTCGGGGCCCTTGCCTTTGACCACTGCCCGATCCACTGTGCGCCAGCCCCTTACAAATCCTCCTACAGGTGGTGAGCCCTACATCGCTCATTCAGGCTAAGCCCGGCCGGGCCCCTTGGGAAGAGGCCCGGCCACTAGGTGCTCACATTCAAGCCTCAACCCCGGGCCTGGCTCCAGGGTGGGGCCCTGGCTGCGCCATACCAGGCGACGTCACGGGTTCTTGAACCTCTCTTAGTCTGACCCATCACCTAGGACCTGTTTACCTTGGGAAACCCTACCAGCTGCATATAGCCCCCGACAACATAGCTCCTAGGATCACTGGAGTACTCAAACCCCTCAACCACAATAAGGTGGCGGTTCAAACAAAATGCCAGATTAAAGCTAAAAATATTTCAGCCAGATTTAAATCACATGCCTAAGAAGTAATTCCAACAATGTTTCTTTTCATCTTTCAGAACAACGATGTCATAAAAAGTGAACGTGTTACATCATAATAAAGTAAACAGCAACAATTTTTGCATACTTTATTTTGTAAGCAAGGAGAATAATTCTAAAGAATAAATTACTGAACACTGAGTATTTTATGAGCATTGTAAATTAAAGAGGCATCCATAGTTTGTAAATTAATAAGTTTTAAATATATCGTGGGACCATGTAATTGTTTGATTTATAGAACTGCAGATCCTTGAGAAACACATTTTCAAACTTTTGTTTTTTAGACAGAAACCAAATCAATTTCACAGCAAAATATTTATTGCCTTGGTGAGGAAATAAAATCATAAATCTCCTGAAGGATCAATACTATGTATTAGTGACATTTGTATACTACATATTCATTGTTTGAAAATTCTATTAACCCACAAAGAAAAGGTCCTTAAGTGAAAAAACATTCAATTTAAAACAACAATCAATCTATACTGTGATTCACCTACTATATTCCCTATATGCAAGATGAAGTCTTTGTTATTTTTGTACCTTGGTATATTAAAACATCCAGACACACCGATCTGTCATATAAATAACTGTGTCTGTGTACAAAGTCAATAGCTTATCATGTAGAATGCTTACACATTAATTTGGAAACCTTTTCCTTAGGAAAAAGAACAGCTTTACCATGCAAGGAGGTAACAGGTATCAACTGCAACTTGGTTTGAGGATATTAGAAAAAAATATTAAGAATATACTGGAACCCATTACTGTGGGTTTTTTAAATATCACTTCAGTAAATCCAAGATAATGCACAAATGACATGCTTTGCATAGAAGCACTGTAAAGTGAAGTGAAACTGACAGTAAAGTCAATGACTCTGCACCTGAAATTTTTAGTCTAATCTGTAAGGTCCAGACACCACGACTGCTCTGTGCTCGCAGTTTGGAAGTCGCTGCTGGACCTTTGTGATGACATGCTTTCGCTGTCCCTGCTCTCCACAGAGCTCCCGTTCTCCAGGAGGCACTCCAGACTGGGGTGTTGTATGACAGGTGGGTCGCCCAGTGGGAGAAGGGGCTCCAGAGCATCTGATCGTGGTGACCGTGAAACCAGAGAGGATTCAGGAGGGTGGCTGAGCAATGTAGGTAGAGAGGCAGAGACATGGTGGATAGAAGGGTGTGGGTCCTCGATTAGGAAGGTGGAGGGGTCCTGGGCCAGAGTATGAGATGTCAGAGTGGATTTCAGAACACCTATGTCCTCATGTGAGGTTTGTGATAAGCTGCGATGAGACTCAGAGGCCAAGCAGAGATTGGGGTGAGAGGATGGTGACAGGTCCATCAGGCTGTGTGTGGACGTAACTGTAGGGGCACTAGACAAAAGGCAAGAATATTCATCACTATCACTGGGAAGAGATGGGCTGGCCCACATGAGTGTGGTCAGGGTCTCAGAGCTATGACATGAGCCTAACCTGGGTGCAGAGTTTACAGACTGTGGTAGGCTGGAGTTAACAGGTGGGCTAGAGGACCAGGGCCAGAGGTGGTTTTCAGTTTGGGTTTCAGCAGCTCTACTGTAGTTGCAGTGGCCAGCAGGTGGGGCACTTTGATGACCAGACTCTTGATAGCTCCCAGGATCTTTAAACAGGTGGCAGGTTGAAGCTAGGTTGAATGACATGTCAGTGTTGGGGCCAGTGGGAGGGCTGGATGACATTTGCATGCTATAAGAGCAGGACGCTTTGTATTGATGCAGAGATATGTGGGCCTGGAGGAGATGCATCATGTGGTGCAAGCCCTTGGTGAGCTCAGATACTTCCTGGCTTAATGTGCCCATCTGTGTAGAGAGTGTACACAGTTTAGTAATGACCCTAAAAGACATACTCTATGATTATACTGAGCAAACGTGTTAAGTACACAAAAAGAGAATTGCAGTATAAAAAAACTCATTCTACCCAAATAAATCCCCAGCAGATAGTGACAAATTAATTAGCTTCTATCTTTAGGGTTTAAGCTTGGACTCATGACCTCCCACACAACTCATAATCCCCTCTATGACTCTAAGAAACAACTTCTTATGCAGCAGTGAAACTCAGAGGGCCACACATTGAGGTAACTGATGCAAATAGATAAGAAAGTTGACAGAAAACTGGAAACAAGGGAGTGAAACAAGCAAGAAGGGGGCCAGAGAAGGGCCACAAGAGGAACTGGGTTGTGATCAAAATACTTTTCCTCCAGATTGCTGAGTCAGCACTCCTGACTACTTTCTGCACTGCAGAGGTGTTCAGCTAATTCATTAACATCAACCTCAGACAGCACCTACATGAGCCCATCTGAAGGCGTTAAGTATGCCTGCTTTTGCTCTATTTACATACAGGGACAGACTGAGATACATGGCAGACATTTAGTCTAGTGACTGACTGGGAAAAAAGGAACAAAATTTTGATGTTAAATAGCAGGTTGTAGTTTCTTATGACGTATTCATTAATGCTTTGTGTATTTTATATTTAACCTAAAATATGACGAGCGAGACATGGATGAAACTGGATCTGGATCTGGGAGGATTTCGGCTCAAAGCTGCATTATTTTGGGTCTGTTGTGGCAAAACTGATTTTATTAAGGCTTGGTGAGTGTAGAATAAAGTCTTGATACCAACTCTGAAAGTTGTTGCACATTTATTCCCTGCAGAGAAGGAGCAGTCTCCATACAGAGTGCTAACAGTAACGGTCTGAAGAGAGAGGCTCCCAGAATGGAAAGCTGCATGTCTTCTTATACCCAGGATACAAGCTATCTGATTAAATCCGTCACACAAAGGCATGTCATATGCTGACACAGTTTCAATCAGTCACACAAATAACTGCATAAAATAACGACATAGCAACAGCCAATACACTAAAAAGGGTGCTGATATAAATTTCCCATTACAGGTTCAATCAATTTGAATTTGTATTAAGGGGCTGTATCTTTAGTACCTTTTGGCTGAGCTGGCTGACGCTCTGCCTAACCTCCTCCGTCTCCAGCAGCAGAGAGGCGGTAGCTTGTGTGTAGTCTGAAGAAATGAAGATGGGAAAAAGATAGGCAGCTGACTTCGTAGCACATACACACACACACACACACACACCATCTCCAGAATGTATCAATATTAATATTAAGCAAATAAATGAGGTGTGAACTGAATTGGTAATTTTCTAAAATGGACATGCAGTTTAAGGCCCTGTTCAGCTGGACTGCAAGTATACACTGTATTAAAGACTCTGAATAGAATACAATCTAATAATATAGCACTGCAAATTACTCCCTGATATTACTGCCAAGCTGCTGAACTGAAAACGTTCTGGGCTATATGGTGTCGATCTGGTATGTTGGGGTCTAGTCAGAGAGACCACCATTAGCCAAAATCAAAACAGTATGCATGCAGTCCTCTGGGAGGCGCTGTAGGATGGCCAGGAAGAACAAGAACAAATAAAAAACTAGGAGGTGCATCTGACACCACAGTTTTCCATAACATATGTTGATTACTATGGTGCAGCTGCTCCCAAAGAACTCATTATACCTAATTAAATTAGCTGGACTATCTAGAATGACAGTGGTCATCAGTAAACACTCAGGTCAGATAATCAGTACCCTGCTTTGACCTCAGTTGTCCTTTAAAATGTTCTCTGACTGTGGTGTCCACTGAACTTCTGACATTACCTCGAGCCATGTGGCACCCAGGTGACCCTCACAGCTGGTGGCGGTTTGGCTTACCTTGGGTGCTGCCTCCTGTACTGGCTTTAGGCCCAATGTGCTCTATGTTGAAGTGAAACCTTTGCCCATTGTCTTCGATGCCATCCACAACCCTGGCAGCAGGGGATGAAGAGGAGGGAAGCTGGAGTTAATGTAACATTAGAGCTTTGTCAGTTATCCTAGGAGCCAGCAGAGGACCCATGAGAGCTGGTGCTGGCAGAGACCCATGTGAGCTTGGACAGGAGGAGAGGAGCCCAGTGTGGAGGGGCAAACACCTGAGCTCTCTGAACCAACACTTACCCATATCTAGGGCTTATTGAATGACTCAGGGACGCATTATGTATATACAGTAGATGGTTCAGGCAGGATAAAGTACCCTGGTAATCAAATGCAGTGACATCTGTTGAAACATGAAATGCAAATACACACCATTAAGCAGATGATGCAGGTTTCTGTAGCAAGACTTTAGGTGTCCATTACTGCAGCACCTGATTCAGATCATCTCAGATGTTCTACTGCTATTATAACTACAAAGCTCTACAGCTTTCAGTGAGATATTTATTACGTGTGATAAGACATAAGGGGCGGGATAGATAATGAGTTGTTTCAAAGAGAGGCAACCACAGTGTGCTGATCTGATATGATGACCATTCCTAAAAATACACTACGAAAAATACATGAAAATTTTTAGGTAGATAGCTTCAGCTTGGTCTTTACTTTGAAAATACTCTCATTCTCTATCAAACACCTTTTAGAGAATGGCTGCTGTGCAGAACAGTGGCTTTTTTCTCTCTCTTTCTTAATTTATTCTTTTGATTAAATGTTTGTTTGGTTACCGTGTACACTATTCATTATGTTAACTGTTGCTCTTGTTCTTGTGCTCACTGTGGTCTGTTGTACTGGCTTTATTTTTGTAAAATTAAAACGTGCACCCTTAACATATAAAAACATTAACATCTATCTATCTATCAAGTATTGCATTACATTGTACAGGTGTTCTTTATTTTTCTGGACACTCGTTGTAAACCATCTATGCAATGTTAACAACCAAAGTGAAAAAGTCATTGAATTTTGGCATTAAAGTATTTGCTTGGTAACTACCTGGGACTAAGGTCTGGGGGTCCAAAGCAGGCGATTGTTGGGATAAGCAGCTGTGAAGGCTTTTGCTTAGCCCCGGACTCTCCCTGGACTGACTCTGAGGGTGGGGCTGACGAACTGTGCTCTAGTCTTGTTGGCGGCCGCGGGGAGGAGCTATGCCCATGGAAGCCACGGCTGAGGTTTGGTGAGCGGCAGCGTCGCAGGGCGTTGAACTGCCGCAGCTCATCCCCAAGGAGGTTCCCCAGGGAAGTGCGGCGAACAGGGTTGCTGAAGCTGGGCAGCAGGAGGTTGCGACGGGAGCGTGTAGCTGGAGAAAGGTGGGATAAGTTGTCTGGCTCATCCACCTTGGTCTCCACAATATATGGGAGCTTGCTTTCCTGCAAAAACAGGAAATACAACCCTGAGGATACAATAATATTAGAGCAGACATAATATACCATTTGAAAACTACTGTAAAATTACTGTACATGAACTAGTTGTAAATGTTTTTGATCATGTTAAAAAGCCTGACAAATGAAAACATCACTCAAACTACTTTTCCAAGCATTTAATGAGAAATCTGACACATAATAATTATTTTTCAAAGCTTCTGATGTAGCATAATTATTACGCTATTTAGATTTAATGAGTTACAGCTGATGATATTTTAATCACATTACAAATCTATTATCCCATCTCATTGTGCTTGTGAGTAAAAACAAGTTTTACATTAAAATGACTTTTGAAAAAAGACAAAGCTACAGTAGCGCTGTGTTTTAATAACAGAAAATTAAGGTGGGGAGATACGCATAAATTGCATGATGAGAAAATGAACTCATAAGGTTTCCCACTGGTAGAGATATTGACCCAGTTACTGAGCTAACACCAGGGACTGAGCTGCTCACTCTGCTCCAAATGAGTTTCAACCAAGTCCTTGCACAAATGTTCCACAGCACTCACTAGAATTACAATATGTCCCTGCAAAACCAGGGCTGTGGGGGCAGGCTGTGGTTTATCTTGAAAAACCATACACGCTGGCTAAAAATCAGGAACTGAAACACGTGACATGATACACATCTGCTCATCACAACTGTATAATGGCCCTACCTTCTGTATATTTGATAGGATTTAAAACCAGGCTTTGTGAATGAACTAAGGAAACCCCATCTTAGGGAAAAAAGAAGTAATGACACCTCAAAAGAAGAAGAAGGAGGAGGAGGAATTTGTAAGATACTCACATGGGAAAGCCTGGGTGACCTTGAAAACCTGTTGAGTCCCTGTAGTGAAAAAAAGCAAACTGGATTTAAAAAAGACACAGCTACATGCAATATGTATTTATTTATTGATTCAATATATTACATTGTATGTTACACTTTGGCCACTGATACAGCCATCGCCTCACAAGCTGAATCACATAACTGAAGCTTCATCTCGACTTGATTGCAGGGGAATTCCAGCAAAAGGTTGTCTCTCTGCTGGCATGTGGAGAAATTTCTAGCAATTTCACCCTCTGGATGGCAAATTAAATTATGGTAGTGTAAAAAATGTGGCTTAATGTGACAGCATAAGCCACAGTTTGTCGATCTACCAGCCAAGTGCCAGTAATGCTCTTTGGCACGAGGAAGCCAATTCACCCTGGATATACGTTAAATTTAACCCTTCACTGAAAAACAACACCGTGTTTAAAAGCCATCACTGCTGAGAGGAAATTAAAGCAAAAAATGCAGGGGCTGACAAACCTGCAGTATGCAGGGACCTAGCTGAGATACTTCTTTAATCTGTCACTCACAAGTATGTTATCTCATGTGTGCACATGAATGCTGCTTTTCTTATAAAGCAGCATGCATGTGCACACAAGGCTGTCATCCAAGAAGAATGACTGTAGACTTGTTTCACTGTATACAAGGGCAATGTCGTCATTTGAGTCACAAATAAGAAGTGTCAATAGAAGGAGTATAGTAAGACAGTGTTTTGAACGTGCCACTTGTTTTTCAAATCCAGAATACATGGGATTTATTTTTACAAAGGTCTTGAAAGTCTCGATACCACTGACTGAGAATCATTTAAGTTTAACCCAAAATACAAATCAGCAAACCTAGGGATAATAACATAATGATGTGACATTGCATCACAAAATTCCTAATCCAATTCAAACCAGGTAGCAGCAAGTGTTCGAGTCAGAAAAAGAAAAATGCTCAGCTGTTTTGTTACTACAAATGAAACTAAAGGTACTGGGACATTTGATGTTACAAATGAGAAGCACAGACCACTGACAACCCAGCGAGGGCACAGTACATTCATTCGATTTAGCATATGTGTTCATTTAGATATCTCAGAGAGAGGAAACTGAAAGGACATACTTGACACGACCCTGATGCTGATACATTTTTTTGTCATCTGGGTATGTTTATCCCATCCAAGATGTCAACAATACTTCTCTCTAGCTGTCAAAAAACCTGCTGAAGTTAAGCACTCCCACCAGAGGTTACCAGTGGCTGCCTTTATCAACTGTGCTAAACTATTTTTGTCATGAGAGGCTCCTGACTGACCAGCTTATTCTTCACACTCCATGACTCCTGACTACTTAACTCTCCTTGTGGCGACACAGTCGTTATAGTCCAACAAATTTGGACTCAGTGCTGGCTCCCTGATAGAGAGGTGACCTGCCCTTTTGTCTAGGACAGAACAGTCTCTCCCCGTCTCACAAAAGTCATCTCCCTTAAGAAATAAGCTATGCTCCTGGGTCTTTGACCAAGTCCGCAACACATTATTCAGCTTGACCTGACATGGACACCTTTTCAGATATTTAAACTTGTGCAGTTTTGAGTCGCTTCAAATAAGACATTGAGCTACAATCATAAAACGCGAGTTTAAATGTAAACTAAAAACAGGATAAAAGCATTTTGTGTGATTTTGCAGTTTGCTAGGTAAAAACCTTTCTGTTCTCTACCAAAACAATTTCAAAGAATTTAATTGACAGCACTGCAATAAAAGCTAAGATTAAATCAGAGAGATGACAAAAATAAATACATAAATAAACTTCCATCTGGCACTGTGGGTTTTCCCTTTTAGACAAGATAAAGTAGTCCCTTTTGGATATCTTATATTGCAATAGGCATTCCTACAATCAGTAAAATCTTTGGTAGTTTTCCACCCAACTGACTGACTGCTGTACAGTCAGCATACAATTACCAAAAATCACTTGAGTGTAAAAGAACCTCTCATTCTATGACAACTCCCACCTCCAAACATCCACAGTGTGGATATAGATAAGACCAGTACAACTAGTTGTTTGTGTGTGTGTGAGTGTGAGTGTGAGCAGTCTATGGAACCTGGTAGAACAGCCATGTATCTGAGCACTGCTTCATCCTGTCAGGGAGTCGGCAGTACCCCGGCTTTCTAGTTAAGCATAAACTCTGAGCAGATGGTGTGAGAGGAGAGAGCCACACCCCTGAGAAGCCTGCCCGAATCAGAATTCAAGACTGTAATAAGTCTAGTAATGTATATAGGTACTGTATACACAGTATTGTGTTTTGATCTTATGCATATATTCTCTAAACTGCCAAATTTATCTATTGCATCTCTTTGTGAAACACCTCAAAATATAACCATTCAGTTTCTGAAGCCCTCATTAATACATCTTAAGCTACTAATTAACATGGCCAGCACATGCAGTGTCCCCTGTCCCTCGGGTTCCAAACTAAATGAATCAAAAAACAAACACAGTCAATAAACTAATGAGCAACAAAACCTTCAAACTGTGGGAAAAGCCTGTGGGTACCACGAGGAATGCTTGAACCTAGTACAACATGCATGAGGCTGACAATAAGAATAAGACTGGGAGCTTTGGCAGTTTTCTCAGTCACACATCAAAGACATCTTGGCTTTAAGTTTAATTAGGTTGTGTCGTTTAACAAAAAGCATAAACTCAAAAGAGCTGTTGAACTTGGCCGACTGTTTCTGAAAACATGGCTGTGCCTGAAAACGTAGCTACATATGCAGACTAAGATAAATAGGTGCATTTTCTGCACAGAAGGATTATCTTGCCTTACAAAATCCCTTCTTAACTAACAGCTAGGGGTAACAGGCTGTACTCAGAGAAGGTCTGGATGTACTGTCATCCTGCTGTGTTGTGGGGTAGTAACAGGAAAGTGATATGGCTGTTTGACAGCGGCACCCATGCATGACAACGGGTGTGACAATCAACCACACACCAACAGCCCTTTGGTTACTATGGCAGAACAAGTGTCAAGGAGAGTTACAAAGGCACTTTAGGGGGCACAAATATGTTGTTTGATATTCTCTATCCTCTATTCCACTGCCAGACAAATGTAGGAGGAAATGATAAGATCAATAATGACAGATCTGTGTATTTGGTACCTCATCCTGGCTGCCCTCACGCAGGTTGTAGTTCAGGTAAGTGTCCTCGTTCTGGCTGCCTTCACGCAGGTTGTAGGTGAGGCTGTTGTTGATGTCAGAGACGTACACACTGGCATATTCAGGGTAGAGTTCAAGCACCTCTTTCAGGCTACGCACACTGATATACTGCAGGTCACAATAGGTCAGGGCCTTCACATCAGCATTGGTCTTTATCACCTGGTTTGTTTCAGGAAGGTCACACCCAATCAAGTCCCCTTTGCCTAAAATCAAAACCATAAATATTCCATTTCTTGCGCCACTTTGTACTACATAAACATAATGATAAAATAAGCCACTTGACTAAAATACAAACCTAATATGGCCAGCACCATATCGTCTTTCAGCACCTCCAGGGATCCAGAGCAGACAAAGTAGTTGGCAGGCAGCGCATCACCCTGACGGATCAAATACTCCCCAGGGACACAGAAGGAGGTTTTTATGTTGAGGGAGAGTGAGCGCAGGCAGCCACGGCTGGCCCCATTAAAAATCGGCAGCTGGAGGATTTCCTTATGCAGGTGCATGGCGATGTCGGCCCGCAGCTCATCGGGGAAGTCACGCAGGAGCTGGGGATGTGTGGCAGATGTAATGAGGTGTGACACTGATGGGCAATTAGGGAATGAACTATGTTGCCACCGGTCACCCTTTTTTGAATTTCAATAGGATTTCATTTGATAGTGTACAAGCAGCCCTGTGTTGTGAAAGACCATAAACAATTACAGCTGCAAAGGGCTGTGAATGCTTTGCAGAACAGATTTTACTGCTCAAGTGTCATCAAAACATTGCCTTAAAGAATTTTGAGGGCAGACTGTGTACAATACATAGGCATTACATGACAGCCGCAATAAAAGGGGCTCCTACCTCGTTGGCATCTATACCATTGTTCATAGACCATGTGGTCTGGAAGTACTCCAGCACACGCTGTTTGAGCTGCTGGGGCAGACAGTGGACACGGATGAACTCCTTCAGGTCCTTCATCCGTGTGTGATAGAAAGAGCGACGTGAATACATACGTTGGATGATGGCTGTCACATTACCGAAGACCAAGCCGTGCATCAGTGCTGCATGATAGAAGGAAACAAACATCATCAAAGACAATATTAATATAAAGTCTGAATAATTGGTAAAACTGAATTCCTAGGTAAAAATCACACAATCTGAAATTTTATTTTGAAAGCTGTCTCTTACACCCTATTACAGTTTGGATGGGTTTGAATATAGAACAATAGAAAAATAACTTATAAAGATGTTTTTTCACTTTTCACTCCATTCAAATTGTTTTTTTGCTTTAAAATAAAACTATCTGTTTATACTGATCACTAGCCAGTCATCTACTTTATTTGCTTTGTTTATATCCCTGTCCTGATGAACAGGCTGAATATTAAATAAACACATAATTATCTTCCTCCTTGGCTAAAATATTCAGTTCACTGGTATATAAAAAGGGCTACAAGCTGTCTTA